TTTCTTTTTCATTTCCGCTGTTAATTTGGCATTTAAATATTTTTCATTTTAAACCAATTCAATTTTACGGTCGTCCAACTTTTTTTTGTTTGAATAACAGCGTACTTTTGACGTATGCTATTATTCTGTCTTTCAGATACGAATTATATACACCGATAGTCAAATTATGTTTAATAAATGTTTCAATCAATTCATATGCTGAAAAGACCAGAACGTAATTAAACGTGTAAATCTTTTGCAATTCGCGGGAATTTAAGAAAACTATCATGCTTTGTTGTATACTTGTAGTAGATAATGTTAGTACAACAATAATCATTGTCCCATGGACACAAATTTGAGGTCCCATGTCTCCATCCACTACCATAATTTTGGTTGATGATGAAGATCCTGTGTGTTTTCACATCCGAAACGTACACGACCCTGCTTTTGTAACCCATACACTTCGGTTCTAGTATGAATTGTAGTCCTTCTCGTCTTTGGCAAAAGTTATTTCCTGCACGCAATATCTACCGACTCTCAAGTCTCAACTCTCAAGTTTCAATGATATTTAAAACATTTTAAGTGCGTTTAAAACTCATTTTAAAATAATTTTTTTTGTATAAAAATAAAAATAAAAACGTTTTTAATCTCAAACAAGAATCATTTTTAAAAATGCGTTTAATTTTTTTTAGAAATTATTTTCAGTATAAAAAAAAACTAAAAATGCGTTTAGTTTTACATTTTTAAAAACATGTAATAGTAGTTGAATTAATTTAAATCATAATCTATAAATAAACAGAAATTTTCACCCTACCAAATAAAGAACAGCCAACTGATGCATTTTTTTTTTTTTACAATTTTCCAGTTTCACAGCAACCAAACATTTTGAATAAAAACTTCATCAACACCACATAAACCACAAAACAGAAAACAGCAAACAACACCCATGGGCCACATAAACCAGCAAACAGAAAACGAAAAACAGCAAACAGCATCCATAAACCACATATGCCGTTGCTTGTTTATAGGAAAATAAGGCTAAGGATTATAACACCAACATCCATGGACCCTCAAGCTTCATGTAAAATGAATTGATTGAAAATAAATAAATCTTTGACTTATTTGATGATGGATCTATCATGGCCTCGCCAACATTTGCTTTTCACAAAAATTTCTAAAAATCAACGGCAAACAACAAACAGCAAACAACAAACCAATCCCAAAAGCTCAATATCAGCAAACAACAAGTAAAAAACACAGAACCAACATTAACAAATCATCAAATATCAACAAGCATCAAAGAAAAACCCAAAACACATATCCCACAAATCAGAACATTTTCTCATGTTTTTGGTCCTCGGAAATTTGAACCCAACCTCCAACAATTCCACCAAGAATCCCAGAATACAAATCCCTAATTGAGAATTGGAGATCTTCTCAAATCTTGCTGAAAAGAAAGAAAATCTTGTGAAATCTTCTCAGATCTTAGAAAGAGGATGATTGGAACCATGGAGATCAGCGAACAGAGAGAACATGATAGAAGAGGAGTCGAGGAAAGAAAATAAATCAAGGATTGAGACCAGGAAAAATAAAAATTGAAAAAGAAAAACGATTATTGGTGATGTTGGACAATCAAAACAGCGAGAGAGAGAGAAGAGAGCGGCGAGAGGGAGAGACGAGAATGGCGAGAGGGAGAGAAGAGAACGGCGAGAGGGGGAGAAGTGAACGGCGAGAGAGAGAAAGAGAACGGCGAGAGGGAGAGAAGAGAACGTCTAGAGGGAGAGAAGAGAACGGCGAGAGGGATAGAGGTAAGCTGGAGAAAATGGAAATTGAAAAAATAAAAATGACTTTAATTCGTTTTCAAAAAAGCATCAGTTTTTAGGAAAAATATAAAAACGTTTTTGTTTTTTATTTTAGTACGGTGCTTCCCTAAACACAGTCTTCCTTCCATTTTCAATTTTTCTTCATTGGAAAACATGAAAAATGTTTTCAAAACCGGAAACAAACACGCCCTTTGTTTTTGTTTGTTTTGTTTTCTTCCCAGACTTTGAAACGACAAAATAGTTACTAAATTAAAAGGGAATTAGGAAAGCAGAGAAATAGAAATGGGAAAACCAAATTTATAATAAATTTTTCTCAATTTTTCTCCTCTCAGATTTTTCCAACAGTGGCTCATAGGGTTAGTTTGGTATTGCTTTTCCCTCTTAAAATCAGTTTCTGCTTGTAGCAGAAGTTGATTTTAGTGTTTGGAAAATCTTTTCAAAAGTGCATTTTGAAGAATTTTTCAAAAATCTACAGCTAAAATCAGAAGCAGCCTAAAGACAACTTTAGCTTTTAAATTGTACGGGAATCACCATAGCATAATTAATGAAACTTTCATAATACCCATAATACCTCTAATAAAATTTAAAATTTACAATCTTCCTAATCTAAAATTCAAACTCATAATAAAATATAGGGAGAAAGAGAGAAATAGGCCAAGACTTGAGATGAATAAAAATTAATAGGCCAATAGTTTACATAAGTTAATAAATAGACCAAATCACTGTTTTTGTCCATAACTTGTCTGGTTATGAACCATAACTTGACAAGTTATTGTACATAATTCACGTTTTTGTCCATAACTTGTCTGGCTATGAACCATAACTTGACAAGTTTTTCCATAACTTATCTGGTTAAGAACCATAACTTGACAAGTTATGGCTTATTAATTTCTATAACTAAAAATTGGCCTATATACTTTCTTAAGCTTTTCATATTGGCATATTTTCGACCATTTCCCTAAAATATAATATAATAATATTGTAACAAATAATATCATAATTATATTAATAACTCTAATATTATTATTTTATTATATAATATGATATTATAATTATTTTAATAATATGATATTATAATTATAATATTTTTATAATATTGTAATTATATTAACTATTTTAATAATATTATTACATTCTATATTATAATTATATAATACGTT